CACTAACTTTTTCTAGCCCGCCCAATTTTCGAGCGATATTAATAATGTGTTAAGCAATGTGGGCTCGAAAATATCATGTAATTAATAAGACTTTTTTATGTTTTCAGTATTATTTTTTTTTTGAATTTATTTATTCGACATTAATAATAGCTGTGGTAGTGTTTTTGCCTCCCTCACCTTACATATCACTGCGACTACCACCATGACCATTAATAAAAATTTCTGGTAAAAATATGTTTATTTAACAGCTTTTATTAATAATTACACCAACAATAACTTAATTTGGTTATAGATGTCGAAGTTGCCGCTCCTATCAATCTTAATATTATCACTCCTAATAAAGCCGCTTTTAATACTGTTGCCCCTAATAGCGTCACTCCTTTAAATGACGATATATGCGTATATTGTAAAAAAGTTGGGCATTGGATCAGTGAATTCCAGAAAATCCTGGCAGAGTATAAGAGCTTATATTTCAAGTAAGTAAGTTATTAGATCATTAAGTTTTAATTGAATTTTAAAGAAATTAATTGGTTATTAATTATTTTAATTATTTTAGATGCTGGAGCTCGAAGCATAAAATTAACAACTGTGAGTCAACTACGAGGTTGCCGCCTCCTTGAAAGAATAAGACGATGATCTTAGGTTTTTTTAGGAAGTAGGTTCGATCAATTTCACTAATCAATCTGTTCAGTACTTTTTTTTTTCTTATTAAAAAATGTCTAATTTTATTTTTTTTTTTATTTTTTTTATTAGAACATAATTTTCTTTTTGTATATGTTTTTTTTTAGTTTTAAATTCCCCCCATCAAAGGTCATCGGGCTAGTAGTGTACTCGCTACGCTCCTCCACCTCGGCCTTACGGCCTCGCAGTACCTACATCCCCCCTCCATGGGGTAGGAAATTCCCTATATCTGTCACCATCTGTCATTAACATCTGTCATATAATAATATACTAAAAAAGGATAAAATAAGGGAAAAGAGAGGAAAATACGATAGAATCAGAGGGTATGACAGATATGACGGATATGACAGATGTTTCAGAAAAATCGGGAGAGGATATCCCCAGAAAAAAGTTTTGATTTTACCCCCCAGATCTGTCATTCTGTTATAGATCTGTCATATGATCAGGATTCAGTCTATTCATTTGTCGGAAGCAGTGAGATAGCAAACTGAGTAAACAGGTAGGTTAATAGTCCCTAGAAGGTCTGTAGAACCACAGGAGGGTAACCGGGTAGGAATGCGGATATTTGGAAAAAATACATTCAGCAATTGAAGATTAGGTAACTATAAATTAGTACTCGATTTGATAGAACAAAAAAAAATGACCACTCAAGCTCAAGTTATCCCTAAGTTCAGTGAACAAAAGAAAGCCTTCAGTATCAATGAGCTTAAACGGCTTATTGTCACTGCAAAGAGTATGAGTGATTTTGATCAAGCCAAGAGGTATCTTTACAGTTATTTCATTCCCTGTGCAGATCCTCATGGAGTTTTCTGGTGGGACCCAAATAGTAAAAGTTTGAAATACGTTATTGACAAAAATATTGGTAAACTTATCCGTCCAATCACGAAAGCATTCTACACATAACCTGAACAAGGACCCTCTCAAAAGACTGAGTTCAACATCTACAAGTGGTTTATGGTCGAGAATACCGATGTATGTATCGCAACCTGTGATTCCCATAAATAGCGAATCTTCAGATCCTTAACCGGCCAACTCTATCTAAATATCTTCCTGGGATTCCTCCACGTCTTACGTCTAATATTCACCTTTGAGTCTACAATTCACCTCGCGGTTAAATTTATTTTCTCTCACATTCAGGATATCTGGTATTTGGGTGATTGGAATCTCACTGAGTATATTATCAAGTGGTTGGCCGGTGTATCTGCTGGAAGGAAGATTTACTCGATTCTCTACCTAAAATCCGGACAGGATTGGGGCAAAGGTATTATAACAGATTTCATTTAGTGCAGCGTCCTAGGCACTCAACTCGTTTATAAGACCAGCGATCCTCAGACGATTCTTGGAAGTTTCAATGGGCAATTACAGGGTAAGGTTCTTCTTCTTCTCGAGGAAATGCTCACGGAAAAAAACCAGTGGAATAATCTGTATCGCTCTTTGAAGGATAAGGTAATGAGTGACATAATGGAAATCCATGAAAAATACAAGACGCCAACACATTACAAGAACTTTATGTCTACCATCATCCTAATCAACGAAAATGCTCTCAGAGTGGAGAATGATGATAGGCGCACAGTGTTCTTGGATGTGTCACCATCCCGCAAGGGAGACCTCAACTACTTCAAAAAACTCGGTAACGCTATGAAATACCTAGGTGCCAGTCAGCCAGTGAGGCGTTCTATGCTTACTTGAGAGCCGTCGCGAACACTTACCCAGACTTCAATGGGAATCCGCTACCCATGACAACATCTAAGTCATCGGGCTGGATGTGGGTCTCGCTACCACTCCACCCACCTCGACCTCATGGCCTCGCAGTACCTATATGTCCTCTACGGGGCTCAAGAATCCCCCATAGATCCTCCACAATCCTCCACATAGATCCTCCACAAAAATATATAACAAAAAAGGATAAAATAAGGGAAAAGAGAGGAAAATAAGAGGGAATCAGAAGAGTGTGGAGGATGTGGAGGATGTTTTAAAAAAATTGGGAGAGGGATTCCCCCAGAAAAAAGTTTTGATTTTACCCTTCCAGATCCTCCACATCTGGAACATCTTCCACACGTACAGGATTCCATTCATTTTCCTATTGGAAGCAGTGAGACAGCAAACCAGGTAGATTAACAGGTAAAGCTCCAAACGGGTCAGTTTGGTCCGGATTATAGATGGTTCGGATTAGAGCCGAAATCCGTAAGAACCGAACTGAAAAACCGGCAATTTGGTTTGGTTTAATCCGATTTTTATAAAAATGCGAAAAATCGAATTAAACCGAACTGAACCACCGGTTTTTCGGTTCTAATACCCGAACCGAATTGAACCGAATTTTGAGCCGGTTTCGGATCGGTTCCCCGGTTTAGCCCGAATCATTCGGAGCTTTATTAACAGGTAAGCCCCTAGAAGGTCTATAGAGCCAGTAAAACCAACCCTGTCCAGCCCCCGTCAGAAAAAATAAGTAATTGAACAATGGGTATACCAAGACGATTCAGATAATAAAGAATACTTTTAGAAGGCAGTACTAATCCGTTTTCCTCTTTTATGCTTCCTTAAGGCATTTATCAATACACTGTTTACACGCGTCATCAGCTTCTAAAATTTTCTGCCTGAGTTTTTTACACTGCCGATTATAAACTGTTTGATGTCTTTTGGCCGCAGTTTCTTTTTTCTTCTCCTTAGACTTCTTTTTGATAACCCAGTCTATTCCAGTAAAAGTATTCTTATGTATACCACAAATTGTGCAGTCACCATGCAGCCGGTAACGCCCATTTGTAGTCATATCTTGTATCATTGGTCGAAATATACACAGGTCAAAATTAGTTAAATAGGGTATCAATAGGTTATCAATAGGTTATCAATCAGCTATCAATAGGCTACCCTATTGGTAGCCTATTGAACTTGCGCCATAATCCGTNAAAAATCGAATTAAACCGAACTGAACCACCGGTTTTTCGGTTCTAATACCCGAACCGAATTGAACCGAATTTTGAGCCGGTTTCGGATCGGTTCCCCGGTTTAGCCCGAATCATTCGGAGCTTTATTAACAGGTAAGCCCCTAGAAGGTCTATAGAGCCAGTAAAACCAACCCTGTCCAGCCCCCGTCAGAAAAAATAAGTAATTGAACAATGGGTATACCAAGACGATTCAGATAATAAAGAATACTTTTAGAAGGCAGTACTAATCCGTTTTCCTCTTTTATGCTTCCTTAAGGCATTTATCAATACACTGTTTACACGCGTCATCAGCTTCTAAAATTTTCTGCCTGAGTTTTTTACACTGCCGATTATAAACTGTTTGATGTCTTTTGGCCGCAGTTTCTTTTTTCTTCTCCTTAGACTTCTTTTTGATAACCCAGTCTATTCCAGTAAAAGTATTCTTATGTATACCACAAATTGTGCAGTCACCATGCAGCCGGTAACGCCCATTTGTAGTCATATCTTGTATCATTGGTCGAAATATACACAGGTCAAAATTAGTTAAATAGGGTATCAATAGGTTATCAATAGGTTATCAATCAGCTATCAATAGGCTACCCTATTGGTAGCCTATTGAACTTGCACCATAATCCGTCACCAATCGGGCAGGCTGATTGTTAGCCAATTAATAACTTATTGATAACTTATTAGTATCCTATTGGTATTTTTATCAAATTGGTTATCAATAAGGTATTAATAGGTTATCAATAGGTTATCAATCAGCCTGCCCGATTGGTGACGGATTATGGCGCAAGTTCAATAGGCTACCAATAGGGTAGCCTATTGATAGCCGATTGATAACTTATTGATAATCTATTGATACCCTATTTAACTAATTTCGATTTGTGATAGGACAATTCGACCTAAATTTGACCAGGTCGAATATAGGTCGAATGACGATCTAACCTGTGTCAAATTAAGGTCGAATTTTCGGGCGCATTTAGGGTGCCAATCGTATCAAATTCGGAAAGGATATTCGGCTAAAATTAGACTCAAATTCTGAAAGGATATTCGGTTAAAATTAGACCTATATTAGGACGTTATTACATATTTATTCAACCCTAAAAAAAACCATATTCAACTGCTATATGTAACCCGAATATTATTGATAAATAGAGTTTTCAAGGACGAATAATAAAGCATAGTATAAGCAAATAAAACCCGTTTATTTTATATTTTATATATATTGACGTATAGTAATATAATTATATAAATCAACCCATGTACATAATAATATATAAACCCCAATAAACCAACTATATTAAGCCAAAAAAAGAAATATAAAATATACTAATAATACCATATAATAAAAAATAAACCTAATAAACCAACCAAAAAAAAGAAATATAAAATATACTAATAATATTCGTCGGCTTCAAAGATTTCATAAATTTTCTCGTCTTCTTTTGCTTCTTTTGTGGCTTTTTCTTTGCCTTTTTGACTCCTTTTGGCTCTTTGTTGCTAATATGATATAAATAAAATTAATTAGCGATATTTGCGATGTAAAAATATTAAAAACAATTCAACTTACTGTCGTCGAACTTTCACCAATCTCATCCAAATCTTCAGGTCTAATCGAATTCATTTCCGCTGAATTTAACAAGAAATCCGAATATGGCTCCGTTAAATTCGGCTCCATTGGCTCACAATCTTCGTAAGATTGAATCAAATCATCAATCACATCATCAGCCGCGTCATATTCGCTAACGTCGTTTGTTTCGTTGGTTTCATCAGTTTCGTACATTTTCGCTTTATCGAGCGCCCATTCGGGCGCATTCTTGAGAGGTTCACTAGACGTAAAATACATGTCATCATCATAAATTCTCTCTCTTTGCTTTTTTGCGTGTTAAATATATTCTGCTTCAGGGTCCAATACGTTTCGTAATAGGTGTTTTAACTATTTAAAACAAAGATAAACTTTATATATCGAATAAATATTAAAATAGGTTAATAGCAATAATCACTTTAATACCTTGTTTGAATGCCATTCCCAATCGTATACATGCAGGAACCGCTTGTTATTAGGCAATTTCTATCTTGATTCGTCTTCGGAATCCGATTGTTCAATCGAATAACAATCATTCTGTAGGAGCATTGGTAATAATTCATCTTTATTGAATTCCTGTATGTTGGCATTATTTCTTTCGTATAATTTTATTGCGGCCTTTACTCGTCTATTTTTTTTCTGTCGAATATATAAAGATTAATTTCAAATGACTAAAAAAAAAGAAGTGTATTAAAATAAAATACTCCTCACTTCAGACAATAGCGCATTTACGTGCATTCTTCGATCTACTTTGTCTAATTGGCCTGATTGTCATTTCCGTTGTCTATCTCTTTTATGCTTGTGCATCAATCGTAACCAGTCTGACAATTGGGTTACCGACGGATTATAATGTCCACTCATCAACTTCTTTAATTCAGGTATAAATTTTTCGTATATCTTTGCTGTCTGTTCACTGAAAGTCTTACCATAATCCAACCGATATTCTTCGGGTATTTGACCTTTCAAGAGGTTCTTCATTTCAGCCTAAACAATAAGAGGAAATAATAAAATAATAAAAGCTGTATATATACATTAACACAATTCAGCTGCAAATAGTCTTGTAAAATTCTTACTCTTGCATCTGTAGCGGCAACTTCATCAGGAGATTCCTCTCTCGATTTTAATCTTTTATTGGGACGTTTTGGTGAATATTGCTGCGAAGGATTAATAATCTTTCGAGGTATATGAAGTTGTTTGGATTGTTGAAGTTCTTCTCGAAGAGCTTTATTTTCTTCACATAATTCATTCGATTCGTTACTAAAAATTTCATTAAAATCCCGTAACATGGAGTTCTCCTCCTCGATACTACGAACATGGTCTTCTAAATTATCTATTTTTCGTTTAATTCAAGCTACTTTGGACTTTTCTTGTTTTAATTCGTTCTGTATTCGAAGGGTTTCTTTTTTTAAATTTCCTAACTCAAAATTACCTATTTTAAATTATAAGGATATGTAACAAACAGATGTAATATAATAAATATCAAAATATAAAAATAACAAATTTGATTTACCCGTTTCTTCATTACTTGGTCGATCACTTCTTGGTGCTCCTTTTTCGTGATGTGAACGATAACTTTTTGGTACATTAATATTAGGATATTTTTTAATAATATCCGAAGCCGTTAAATTTCGTTGAGATTGAGATTGAGTTCGACCTATTGAGGCTGAAATATCTGGCGGAATAACGAGTTTAAAGGGAGATGAAGAAACTGTAGTATTAGTATTTTGTAATGTTAATGTTGACGAAATGGTAATATTACGTGTTGATAGTGTTGACGAAGTGGTAATATTACGTGTTGAAGAAGCAATATTTCATGATACTGATGCTGACGATCGTGATGCCGGTGTTGAAGTGGCAATATTTGGAGGTGTTGGTGTTGACG